CTCTCTCTCCCCCTCCCTCTCTCTCTCTCTCCCTCTCTCTCTCTCAACACATGTGGAGAAGGGCCTGGAGGAGAAGCGTTTTCAGCTCTCAAATTCACATTTTCCCTGAATGGGCGCCCAGCCAAACCCAACCAGACCTGTTGGCTAAGCTCCTTGAGCTGGGACGCCAAGCAGAAAATGAGCAAAAGGACAGTTAAGTCCTCGACTTACGACCACCATTTTGCCCTGTGGCTAAGCGAGACTGTGGTTAAGTGAGGTTTCGGCCCGTTTTACGACCTGGCTTCAGCCACAACTGCTGAAGCGAATCACGGCCGTCGTTCGATGAGTTGCACGGTCGTTAAGCGAATCTGGCCTTCCCTGCTGACTTTGTTGTTAGAAGGGTTGCAAAAGGGGATTACGTGACACCCCCCCCCCCCCGGGATGCTGAGACCGTCATAAATAGGGATCAATTTCCAAGCCTGCCTCTTCTGTGACTCTGTTCTGAATGGCTCAGCGCGCAGTAGCGTCCTGCGGCCTTGTGTGTGTGTGTGTGTGTGAGGAAAGCTATCCTTTTTAACTTGAATTGTTGGGGCAGTTAGGAGAGAGAAAGAATCACAGTGGGAAGGGACCTTGGAGGTCTTCTAGTCCAGCCCCCTGCTCAGGCAGGAAGCCCTATATCATTCCAGACAAATGATTATCTAATCTCTTCTTAAAAACTTCTAGTGTTGGAGCATATAAAACTTCTGGAGGGAAAACCGTTCCACTGATTAATTGTTCTGTCAGGAAATTTCTCCTCAGTTCTCTCCTTGATTGACAAGGAGAGATTCAAGCTAGAAATAAGGAGAAATTTTCTGACAGTGAGAACAATCAAGCCATGGAACAGAAGTTGCCTTCGGAAGTTGTGGGACATTCATCACTGGAGGCTTTCAAGAAGAGATTGAAATCCCATCTGTCAGAAATGGCGAAGGGTCTCCTGCTTGGGTGGGGTTGGACTAGATGACCTACAAGGTCCCTTCCCACTCTGTTAATCTGTAATTGACGAGTTTCCATCCATTGCTTCTTGTTCTGCCTTCAGATGCTTTGTAGAATAGGTTGACCTCCCTCTTTGGGCCAACCCCTCAGGTATCGGAACATTGCTATCTTATCTATCCAGGGATGGGCTTCAAAAATTTTAGCAACCGGTTCGTGGCCATGGTGGGCATGGCCTAGTTGGCCTCCTGCACCATGGCGGGGGGAGGTGTTTCTCCCTCCCCGGGCTCCGGAGGCTTTTCTCAAGCCTCTGGGAGGGCGAAAACGGCCTCCTCAGGCTCGGGAGGCCCTCTGAAAGGCCAGAAACAGGCCCGTTGTTTCTGGCCTTCCAGAAGGCCCATTTTTCGCCCTCCCTGTGCTCCAGAGGCTTTCCTCAAGCTTCCGGGAGGGTGAAAACAGGCTCCCCGGGCTCCGGTGGCCCTTTGGAGTCCAGGAACGGGCCCATTTCCAGATTTCTGGAGCTTTCGAGAGGCCCAGTTTTTTCCCTCCCGAACTTCCGTCTGGGCCCTGTGCTTACCTAGGATCCAAAATGGGCCACGCGGGGATTCCTGGGAGGAGCGGGGCGGGTGGGGCCAGGCTTGTGTTCACCCAACCGGCGATTAAAAATGATAAAATGAGCGACCAGTCTGTCCAAACCGAGGAGAACCGGTAGCAGCCCACCCCCTGGTCCATAAAAACGCTTCATTTCATTTCACCCTGAAACGTTCCGTTCCTGCTTCCGTCATCTGAGAACCATCATCTTGAGGGACAACCAAAGCCACTAACGTTACAAAACGCTGGCCATACCTTAACTCCAAGATATTGGTGACGTTCCCCGAAGGGAAGATCCTTCGGATGTAGTTGAAGTCTCCGACATACAGGCTGCCGTCTGAGCCGCAGGTCAGGGCAACAGGTGCCAGGAGTTTGTTGCCGTCGGCCAGGCCGTTGCAACTCGGGCAGGAGATGCTCCTTCGGCGTCCGTTACCCATGATGCTCCCTATAACTCGGGGTTGCTGGGAGACGAATTGGTTTTCCCCATTTCCTTTGTGCAGGATACCTGGGAGTGGGGGGCAAACACAAGGGGGGATAGGCCGAACTTGTTCTGACCCGGGCTTCCCAAAATCACGAAGCAGACCCCTCGTCCTGACAAAATCCCTCTTTTTTATTAGGCTAATGTGAACTCCTATCATTCACATCCAGCAAAGTCCCGGCAAACAGTCTTTCAAGAGGGATTTACAACCACAGACCTTATCAGGCTTGGAGAATTGCCAGGCCGATAGCTTCTGAGCTCAAGGCTGTACAAGAAAACACTTGGCAAGGGGTCTCTAGAGTCACGAACAAATCTTCACACTAATTAAATGAACTGACTGTCTCCTGCAAACATCACTCCCCTTTCGCTCCTCTTTATTCCCTATGGGAGGGTCCATTCATCGTCCACCTATGCCTTTACTTCCGAGTTGACCCTTGTTCCTTAACCGTTTTCTTCTCCTGGCAGCTCTGCGCATGCGCACATCAGGAACAGGCTCCAGCTGTTCTTCTGCCCCACTGATCTCTGACTCCGAAGGCAGCTGATAACTGTCGGACGGTCCTGGCCCCATCTCTGCCTCTGACGCAGAGCACACAGAGGTGGCTCTTCCATCCCAAGGACCAGCCCATAGATTTCTACTGCTCTTCTCTCCTCTCCCCTCTGCACATCCATGTGTCAGGCAATGGACCCAGCTGTTCCTCCTGTTCTTCATCAGCCACCTCCAGATCTGAGGGCTGGCGGATGGCCCAGAGGCTCTCTCTCTCTCTCTCTCTCTGCCAGCTCCATTCCCTCTTTCCCCTCAGAGCTCCAAGGTTGCCCCGATGGTGACCCTGACTCCCATGTCTCCTCCTCCTCTGATTCGGCTGCCGGAGGGGCTGGCAGCCGAAGGACCATAACATAAAGGAGACGGGTGGTTAGGAAATATGAAGTATGTATAAAGAAACGAACCATTCAACAAACGTACCACTTTGGATGTTAAGCGCATGATGCTTGTCCAGAGACCATCCTCCAAGTTTCGAAGCGTCTATTTCGTAACCCTGAAGCACCGCTGTCCGTTTCTCCCACAGGATCAAATCCGGGCACGATTCATATTCGTATCCCACTGAGACTGGGAGTTGCGAGAGGAAGAAAAACAGGTCAGACACTAGAGAAATCAGCCTAGTATGAACAGCTTTCAAGCAGTATCTTTAAAAAAGAAATACCAAAACACAACCCAGATTAACTATGAAAAGAGGCAACTGCAATCCCAAGAAAATAAAAAAAATAAAAAAATAAACCAATAATAAAAGAAAGAAAACAAACCAGATTCAGCTAGATCGAACACTTTTATATCCCCCCCATCCCAAGAAAAGTTCAGGGCTATGGCATCCGGGCTTCAAAAATTCAGACAACCACAAGATGGCAGCAGAGAGTCAAATTTTTTGGTGTCTCTCTGCTGCCATCTTGTGGTTGTCTGAATTAAGCGGCTTAAATATAGGAATGGTAAGAAAATGTAAGGTGGGAAGGAGAAATCTTCCTAGGCAAGGGGTTCCACAGGACAAAGGGAAGGACCAGAAACCACTTCCCCAAGTGTGGTTTTGCCATCTGAACTTCAGATAGTGGTTGGTCAGGACTTTACAGAAAGCAATCCTGGTTCACTTGAGTTGAGTCGGAAGGGACCTTGGAGGTCTTCTAGTCCAACTCCCTGATCAGACAGGAAACCCTATATAAACCATTCAGACAAATGGTTATCCAATCTCTTCTTAAAAGCCTCCCGTGATGGATCACCCACCACTTCTGGAGACAAGTCATTCCACTGATTAATTGTGCTCATGGACAGGAAATTTCTCCTTAGTTCTAGGTTGGATCTCTCCTTGGTTAGTTCCCATCCATTGCTTCTTGTCCTGCCTTCAGGTGATTTGGAGAATAAGTTGACCCCCTCTTCTTTGGGGCAGCCCCTCAAATATTGGAAGATTGCTATCATATCACCCTTAGTCCTTCTTTTCATCAAACTAGACATACCCAATTCCTGCAACCATTCTTCGCATGTTTTAGCCTCCATCCTCCTAATCTTCTTTGTTGCTCTTCTCTGCACTCTTTCTAGAGTCTCAACATCTTTTTTACACCGTGGCAACCAAAACTAGATTCAATATTCTAAATATGGCCTTACCAAGGCCTTATAAGGTGGCCTTAACATTTCATGTGATTCTATCCAGGGGTGGGCTTCACATTTTTTAGCAAGGGGCTCTCTGCCCTAAGGACGAGCTGGGTGGGCGTGGCTGGGTGGTCATGTGACTGGGTGGGTATGGCCAACTCGACATCGCTTCTTTGCCCTAATGACCTAAAAAAGGATATATACCAAAGAGTTGTTTATTATTTCATGTCATTTAATAATTAAATAAAAGACGGGGTGAAACCAGGCTTAATAGCTGTGACTGTGAAGAGGGATCTTGGAGTCTTAGAGGAGGAGTTTCTGGTGAGTTATGTGATTCTTATTATTTGGGAATTAATCCCCTCGGAGGCCAGTGGCTATATTATCTGATTTTGTCAATGGCTCTCGCTCGCAAGCGCTGAGTGGATTGTTTATCTAGCTTGCCAGACTTTTACGAGGTGTGAAATGCTCTTGGCTGAACACCCAGAAGTTCAATTAAGCCTATTAAGAGCTTTCCCTTGCTGCTTGTCTTTCTGAGGTTATTGGGGGCTCTCTGAGCCCCTGCGAGACCCCAGCAGCCCAACCCTGATTCTATCCCTCTGTTATGCAGTCTAGAACTGTACTGGCTTTTTTTTTTTTGGGTAGCTGCAGCTACCAAAGATTAGAAAGGCAGATACAAAAATGGCATCTTACCGAAGACTTCGGATAACCCATAGACCTTCTGATTGTAGACGTCCGTCTTGTCCCAGATGAAGTAGTAGGAGAGGTCTGGAGCTGCAGCAAACCACTTTCTGAAGAGGCGCCCTTCCACCGCAACCATGAGGTGGACTTTCATAAGGTTGAAAGGGATGGTGGGATGGGTTAAGCTGATCTTCAGGACCGATTTGTAGCCAGACGTACGGCTGCTCAGGTAGCTGAGCTTGATTTTAGTCCCTGAGATTTTAATCTCTTCTTGTAAGGCCTGGAGATTAAAACAAAAACAAAAAAAAAAAATCACAGCTTCCAAAGAACTTCCGAAGACAGCAAAGTCCACGTTTTGGACAGAGAGGACCGCTGGTTTGAAAGAGGGGTCAAAGAGATCGCTAGGTCAAAATTGATCAACCCTTTCTCAATAGGGGTGGGGTGGGGATTACAGCTTAATTTATCTCCAGTCTACAACACAGTCCTTTCGGCAGTTCTAAGAAGACTCCACATACATTGGCATCACTTAGGTAACCCTGAGGACACAGATAAACTTCCAAGTGGCCTCAACGACCCTCTAAAAGGATGCAAATGACCAGCTGTCTGCAAGGAATATAAATCCTTCCATTCCCCACCATCCAGTCAGAGTTGGATATATATATATATATTTCCCTCCTAGCACTGGTGACATTAGCCAGTTGGGTAATGGAAGGTCCACAAGAAACCACCAAGTTGAGAGAACACCAAGGATCCCACCTCCTCCTCAACTCCACAAACCCCCCTCCCTTCTATCACTGATGATGTCACCTAGTTCGGTAATGAAAGGTCTGCAAAGAAACCACCAAGCTCAGAGACCACCAAGGACCCTACCCTCTCCATCTCCTCCATCTCCATCCTCCAACCCCTACCCCCTTCTAGCACTGATGATGTCACCTAGTTGGGTAATTAAAGGTCTGCAGGAAAACCCCAAGCAAGGGCCCCATTGTTGTCATCGTTGTCATTTTCCTCCTTCTTCCTGCAATCCCTATTCCCTTCTATCACTGATGATGTTACCTGGTTGGATAATAAAATGTATGCAAGAAAATCACCAGCACCGAGGACCCCACCGTTCAACCCTTGAGCTACAAATATTCTCTTCTATCATTGCCAGCAAACATCTATGCTGTCCTCAGGACATGAGACGCTTCAATTCTTCTGGCCATTGTATTGCTTTACTTTGTAGGTTTGCGTCAATGTTAGCCAGCCCCTTTCATGGTTCTGCAACACCAGCTTCTCTCCTCTAATGGTCTCTGTCTTCCTGATAAGATGGAGCTGGGTGAGTTCACCCTCGCTTTTTTTTTGGCTGAAAAACCACAATCTTGCAAACTTCCCTTGTCCTTGTGAGCGTCCAGCCATGAACCAACCTGCTTTTGAAAGCAGGAATTTTTAATTCCGGGATTGTTATTGCTATTTCGAGCAGAGGAGTGACAGGACAAATGCTGGTCCTTGAATTTGCCGCATCTGGAAGTATCTTTTGCAATCCCGTTTTTCTTACCTGGATTTCGGGCACGATGGGGCCTCTCTCGGAACAGGAGCTGGCAAAGGCAGTGAGCGGAGTGGGAGACACCACAGGGTTGGGCCGGGCAAAGTTGCTCAGGTCGCAGCTGGGGATGTCGTTTTCTTCGTGTCGCATGACGATGGTCTCCATGACGAAGAAGTGGTTCCAGGGTAGCCAGAGGGTGTGATCCTGAGTGATGAAGGGCGCCCGCTCGAAACGCAGAACGATGGCTATCCCGCCATTGGTGACTAGGTCAAAACTGTGTGGGCAGAAAGCCAAAGATAGATAGTTGGGTTTTTTTGGTTTTTTTTGCAGGAGGGAAGCGATACAAGTGTAGATTAGCTGGCCGATGTGGGTGAAGGAGAGTGACCTTGTGGTGACATTTCCCCTTTTAAAAAATAATAATAATGAAATGATTCTATTTTGGCCAATTGACTGGGTGGATTTGAACTCAAGCACAAATGCACCATTTAAAAAAAAAAAAAGACAACCCACATAAATTAAGAAAAGTATTTTCTGATTTCTTGTACAAAGCAGTAAAAAGGACTGAGAAAACATGTAAAGAAAACATGCTTCATGGCGGAACTGTGGTAACTTTAAGATGCATAGACTTCAACTCCCAGAATTCCCTAGCCAGCATACTGGAAGCTGGAGTCTATCCATGCTGGCTGAAGAATTCTGGGAACTGGAGTCCACCCATATTGGCTGGGGAATTTTAGAAGCTGAGATACAACCATTTTGGCTGGGGAATTCTGGGAATTGAAGTCCACCCATGCTGGCTGGGGAATTCTGGGAGCTGAGATCCAACCATTTTGGCTGGGGAATTCTGGGAATTGAAGTCCACCCAAGCTGGGTACGGAATTCTGGGAGTTGAAGTCCACCTCAGGTGGCTGGAGAATTCTGGGAGCTGAAGTCCATACATCTTAAAAGTAGCTCAGGTTGAAAAAGGCTGCCCTAAATCATTCACAATTAAAGCAACAATGGAAACTGGTGTGTGTGTGTGTGTGTAGGAAACAGACATAGTGGGTCCTTATTAACATGAAGGGAAAAATTTAAAGAGGGACTATTTTAGCTGGCAACTAGTGGCCAACATCCAGAGGCCCCATCTAAGAGGTCTACTGTGAGGTACATCTAATTTACAATCCGGCAGACATGGTGGGCCTAATTTATTTCCGGTCCATGAAAATAAAAACAAAGCAAGTGAGCCGAGAGAGCTATTGATTCTGCAATTCAAGTAGGAAAACGCTGGCTGGTTTTTAATGGCATGCCGGCAAACTCAAAAGCGCTGAAGCTTCAAGGAAGACATTTTTAAACCAAGCGTCTTCAAACTTGACAGCTTTAAGACCTGTGGACTTCAACTCCCAGAATTCCACCTCCAGTCCTATTAGCTCCAGGAATTCTGGGAGTTGAAGTCCATAAGTCTTAAACTTGCTGAGTTTGAAGACCTTTGTTTTAAACAGTTAGTTAAAATTTGACAAATGGGTATTCATCAGGTTCTGACCAGTTCTGGAGAACCGGTAGCAGAAATTTTGAGTAGTTCAGAGAACCGGAAAATCCCACCTCTGACTGGCCCCGCCCCCATCTATTCTCCTCCTCCCGAGTCCCAGCTGATTGGCTGAGTCTTCTTTTGTTGCCCTGCACAGGAGAACGGAGCTGGAAAGCAGGTTAGTGGGGTGGGGAGGGAATGGGGATTTTGCAGTATCCTTCCCCTGGCATGCCCACCAAGCAATGCCACGCCTACCAAGCCATGCCCACAGAACCGGTAGTAAAAATTTTTTGAATCCCACCAAGCCCGGATGGTGAACTGAGCAGAGCTGCAGTGGGAATTGCAGAAATAGATAGGCAGTCCTCGACTTACGACTCCAACTGAGCCCAAAATTTATGTTGCTAAGTAAGACAGTCATTCAATGATTTCCCCCCGCATCTTACAACCTTTCTTGCCACAATTGTAAAGTGAATCACTGCAGTGGCTCACTTAGTGACACGGTTGTTAAGGGAATCGGGCTTCCCGACATTGACTTTGCTGGTTAGAAGGTCGCAAAAGGGAATCAGGTGACCCCAGGACACGTCAACTGTCGTAAATACAAGCCCAAATGTCTGAATCTTGATTGTTTGTGACTAACCCAGTTGGCTTCCAATGGGGGAAGGCAGATTTGTTTAACAACCATGTGATTCACTTAAGAACAGGAGCAAAAAGGTCGTCAGATTGGACACGGCTAAACCTACCTCATTTAGCAACAGAAATTCCTGTCCCTATTGTGGTCGTAGGTTTGAGGACCACCTATAATGTTTGCAAAACTCGCCTCTTAAAACAAATCTCTGTGTGTCTGAATTCTGAGATAACCTGAGATATGCTTCTCAAGGTAGAAATATTAGTTATATCAACAACCACTTGACTCCAAGACACGAACTGGGCCTGGCTAGTCTAGGGAAGAGAAGGACCAGGGGAGACATGATAGCAGTCTTCCAATATTTGAGGGGCTGCCACAGAGAAGAGGAAGGGGTCAAGCTATTTTCCAAAGCACTTGAAGGCAGAACAAGGAATAATGGATGGAAACTGAACAAGGAGAGATTCAACCTGGAAATAAGGAGAAACTTTCTGACAGTGAGAACAATCAACCCATGGAACAGAAGTTGCCTTCAGAACTTGTGGGAGCTTCATCCCTGGAAGCTTTCAAGAAGAGACTGGACTGCCATATGTCAGAAATGGTGTAGGGTCTCCCGCTTGGGCGGGGGGTTGGACTAGATGACCTACAAGGTCCCTTCCAACTCTGATTATTAAATCTGTTAAATGCAGGTGATGAGTTCCTTGCAATTTCAAAAGGCAAGAAAAATATAATAATAAAGAAATGGATTTCAGCTAAAGTCAGTATAAAAAGAAAGCACATCTAATTGACAATAAAATTTCCATCTAAGGTGTTCTTATCTAGCCTGTTCCGAGAGACTGAAGTCAATGCGAAGCTTAACTGACAAGTTAAATCACATCAGGTTGAGAAACGAAGATTTATTGCTGAATCTATTTACTCGCTGAATTCTGGAAATTTGATATTATCCTGTAGTCTCCGGTGAGAATTTTTTTTTGCCTGCTCACTGGTTCAAACCAAGAATCTTTGTATATATTTTAAAAGGGTCACTTTTTTTTAACTGCCTGACAAAATGGATTATTCTGTGGGGACAACAATCAGCTCGACAAAGGAAGGAATGTTTTCCTGTAATTTGATCGGAATCCTTCAAGGTCCAGTTGTTTAAACACACCCACCCAACAAACACTCGGACTGGTCTTTGTTGCTGTGGCTGTGCAGATGTTTCCAAAGTTTTGATGCAAAACATGCCTGCAACAACCGAAAGAAATCCCTTTTCTCCGAGATCTGGAGAATAACAGAATAACAGAGTTGGAAGGAACCTTGGAGGTCTTCCAGTCCACCCCCCTGCTTAAGCAGAAAACGATATACCATTTGAGACAAATGTCTTCCCATTCTCTTCTTAAAAACCTCCAGTGATGGCGCACCTACAACTTCTGAAGACAACAGGTTAATTGTTTTTGCGGTCGGGTAATTTCTTCTTCATTCTAAGTGGGATTTCTCTTTGATAATTTTCCATATCTTAACGGAATAACAGAGTTGGAAGGGACCTTGTTGTAGGTCATCTAGTCCAACTCCCCCGGCCAAGCAGGAGATCCTATGTCATTTCTGATAGATGTCAGTCCAGTCTCTTCTTGAAAGTTTCCAGTGGTGAAGCTCCCACAACTTCCAAAGGCAACTTCTGTTCCATGGGTTGATTGTTCTCACTGTCAGAAAGTTTCTTCTTATTTCCAGGTTGAATCTCTCCTTGGTCAGTTTCCATCCATTATTCCTTCAGGTGCCTTGGAAAATAGCTTGATCCCTTCCTCTCTGTGGCAACCCCTCAAATATTGGATGATAGCTATCATGTCTCCCCTGGTCCTTCTCTTCACTAGACTAGCCAGGTTCAATTTCTGCAATACACCCATTGCTTCTTGTCCTGCCCTCAGGTGCTTTGGAGAATAGCTTGACTCCCTCTTCTTTGGGGCAGCCCCTCAAATATTGGAAGACTGCTATCATGTCACCCCTAGTCCTTCTTTTCATTAAAGCAGACATACCCAGTTCCTGCAAAACCATTCTTCATATCCTCCAGACCCCTAATCCTCTTTGTTGCTCTTTTCTGCACTCTTTCTGGAGTCTCAACATCTTTTTTACACCATAGCGACCAAAACTGGATGCCGTATTCCAAGTGTGGCCTTACAAAAGCGTTATAAAGGGGTATTAAACACTTCACGTGACAGAGTCTAACCAGGCAAAATCTATACCAATGGGATGGTCCCAGATGCAACTTAACCGAATGGGCGACCCCATTGCTCCCCTTCCAGGATCATGTGAGCTGGCTCAGCCACCAACTCATTTTTAATTGCTCCTTTCTGTATTACTCAACCCTTACAAAATGTGCAACTTCAAGAATCTGGCTTTCCAGTGGGATTAATTAATACAAAACAAACCGGCATTCCATAAAGATATGCTTACATGCCCTCTGGAAAATGTCTACCTTTGCCATTGTTAAGAGTAGACTGCGACTTGATAGCACATAATCAATGCGTCCCATGCTTATCACCGAGACTGCCTTTATAGGCATAAGCTCCAACACTTGGCAAGAAGACACCAATTATTATCGCCTGTAGTCTTAGTCTAGTAGTTGATTAAATCAGGGCCGTTATATCAGGTAGGAAGTCACAAGTGGAACTTTCTCAAAAGTATTCTGAGTGACCATTTTCTGATTCGTTAATCTTCCTAATGTTAAGACCATGAGAATCTTACTAGTAGGTCATCATCTATGGGGCATCATCAGTGGTGGGAATCAATTTTTTTTACTACCAGTTCTGTGGGCGTGGCTTGGTGAGCGTAACAGGGGAAGGTTGCATGGCCATGGTGGGTGTGGCCTAATCAGCCTCCTGCACCACGGCGGCAGGGGGGGTATTTTTACCCTCCCCGGGCTCCGGAGGCTTTCCTCAAACCTCCCCCGGGGTCCGGAGGACGTAAATGGGCCCGTTTTTGGACTTCCGGAAGGCCTGTTTTTCGCTCTCCCCAAGCCTCCATGTGGGCTGTGCATTGACCTTCCATCCAAAACGAGCCGCATGGAGACTTCTGGGAGGGGACAGGAGGAGTGAGAAAGTCCAGCCAGGAGTTGGATTTGGGGGTTCTCCAAACTGCACAGAATCTTAGCTAGGGGCTCTCCAGAACCCCTGCAAAACCCCAGCAGCCCAGCCCTGATTCTGAGGGACTCATTAATCTTTCTAATGTTAAGACTATGAGAATCTTACTAGCAGGTCATCATCTACGGGTCATCATCATGCAAGACCTTGCTTTGTGCATCCACAGCAAGGGTCTCCTAAACTTAGCTACTTTAAGACGTGTGGACTTCAACTCCCAGAATTCCCCAGCCAGCAGGTTTGAAGACCCACAATCCACAAAATGGAAGCCCAGGATAGCTTTCTTTGAGAATTGAGCATGACTTCCAGGGACCTCACAGACACCTCTGTACAGGTAGTCCTCAACTGAGGACCACAACTCCTTAATATTATTCATCTGGAGTCTGCCCCAAGGGTGTTTTGGGTATGTGCCAACAGACACGGAGACCACAAATCTTGACGGCTGCTTGTCCAAAATCCGGAAGCCCATCCCAACTTCCTCCCGCTCCAAGGAAGAGATCCACCTACCTGCCATCTTGTCTGCTGATGGTGTAGCCAAACAGAGGATTGTTGACAAAGCTGATGTTCACGCCAACCAGAGGGGTCCCATCCGCTGTCATCACCTGCCCACGAATGACACAAGGGTGCCTGCAAGGAAGTTTAAAAAAAAATAACAACAACACAAGTTGAAAGGAGTTGAATTGGTCACACAAGGAGAATGTTAGATTTTGCAGCATAAATTCAAGTCCAGAAAACACACAGATGATTGTGTCAGGATTCTGGCAGTTGCCTCCATTTAAATCATGAGTCTCGAGCCAAACTTCCAAAACTTATAAAGGATTTATTGGGAGTTAACATGTCCGGCACTGCCTGGGTGCAGCTGACTCTGAGACACATAATTCATTGTCATCCTTGACCCTGGTTTTCCCCCACCCCCTGGGTGTATCATAATTCATATTCTCCAATGGGACACATCCATAGCTAAGAGTCATCAATCATGCTCTCCAGTTAGAATTTTGCTTGGCAGAAACTTCAGTCACCTAGTTACTATCTTTGAAAACTATTTATGGAATGCACTTTTGATTTCCAAGCTGCCCCACTTCTCCCCCTCCCTTTCTGTTGGCAAAAGACCATAGAAATCATATTCAGCAGGATGATTAACTTCTTTATACATAAAATAAGTAAACGTACAACACCAGTGGTTTCAATTTTATTTTCAGTTTCAATGCTCAGCAGAGCACCGAGAGCCAAACCACACCCAGTCTGTCAGCTCCCTGTCAGCGTTCCAGAAAACCTCCATTCCAACCAATAACCACGAGACAGACATCTTCTCAAAAGTTCCTTTTATTTTGGATAGTAACTGGCACAACTGGGGAATCCCGAATCTGAAAGTTCCGGGCTTCCTTGCAATAAGTAAAAACTACAAATCCATCCCCTGCTCTCACCATCGCATCACATGTTCCAATCACCATCCGTCCCAACTTAAGACTTCCCCTCACTTAGGCGCAAACTAACCTGACCTTGAATTAGAAAAAGAATGTTATTATGTCTAACTACACACACACTCCAAGAAATTCCCCCGCTCCCACTTTCCCAGGCTCAAAATGTGACAGCGTGGGAGCATCTGGTTTCAATATGGCTTCCAAAGCGGACACTCCCATTGGCTGGTCTGTTGCCATGCTTACTCACTTGCTGACTTTGTTAACCATGTCTCTGCCAGTTAATGAATATACTCTGACAGAGAAGACTTTGTAAGCGATCAACATGGATCTGCGACATTGTGGGTCATCATGGACTCTTCGTTTCAGCACCTCTAACTTCCATCAGTTGCTGCTGGCCATCTGCTGGGCCTCAACCTCTTGAAACGGGCTTCACCAGGTGTTTTTTTTTTTGCATGCAAGGAAGTCTGCCTCAGAACCTTCTTGGAATGGACCTTAAAAGAGTTTCATTCTCCAAATTTGGTTCTCTTATTCTGTTGTAACTCTATGTCTAATGTGGATTTCATGTTTGGGCCAGAGTAAATAGGTATTCCTTAATTTACAACCATTCATTTAGTGACCATTCAGAATTACAATGGCACTGAAAAAAAAAGTGACTTATGACCGGGATTTTTCCACACTTATGACCGTTGCAGCATCTCCAGGGTCACGTGATCGAATTTCAGACGCTTGGCCACTGGCTCGTATTTACGATGGTTTGCAGTGTCCCGGGGAATCACATGATCACCATTGGTGACCTTCCTAGCCTAGCATTTGATAAACAAAATTAAGAGGGGAAGCCAGATTTGCTTAACGACCGCATGATTCACTTAACAAAGGTGTTGATTTGAACTGTGGTGACATGATAGCAGCATTCCAGTATTTGTGGGGCTGCTACAAAGAAGAGGGGGGTCAACCTATTTTCCAAAGCACCAGAAGGCAGTAGAAGAAGCAGTGGATGGAAACTAATCAAGGAAAGAAGCAACCTAGAACTAGGGAGAAACTACCTAACAGTGAGGACCATCAATCAGTGGAACAGAAGTTGCCTTCAGAAGTTGTGGGTGCTCCATCACTGGAGGTTTTTAAGAAGAATCTAGACCAGGGGTGGCTAACCTTTTTCGGCTCCTGTGCCAAAAATTGTGCGCACGCTTGTGTGCGTGCACTCACATGCCAGCACCCAGAAGGCAATGCGTGCGCCTCCCCCACCCTCTGCCCAACCCCCCCTTACCTGCACTGCACCTCACACCTAATTTTCGGCTGGTTTGAGGCCTTTTTCGGTCTCCCAGAGGTTTGAAAAAAGCCTCTGGGAGGCCAAAAATGGCCTCAAACCAACCGAAAATCAGCTGTGAGGCACGTGCATGCACAGTGAGGTAAGTTTGCCTGCGGCTCGCGTGCCGGCACAAATGGCTCTGCGTGCCACCTGTGGCACGTGTGCCATAGGTTCGCCATCACGGGTCTAGACAGTCACTTATCTGAAATGACCTAGATTCTCCTGCTTGAGCAGGGGGCTGGACTAAAAGACCTCCAAGATCCCTTCCAACACTGTTTATCCTATTCTATCCTATCCTATCCTATCCTATCCTATCCTATTCTGTTCTGTTCTATATTCTATTTTATATTCTATTGTTCTATTCTATATTCTATATTCTACGTTCTACATTCTATTCTACGTTCTGTTCTGTTCTGTTCTGTTCTATTCTACGTTCTGTTCTGTTCTATATTCTATTTTATATTCTATTCTATATTCTATTCTATTGTTCTATTCTATATTCTATATTCTATGTTCTATGTTCTTTGTTCTGTTCTATTCTATTCTATTCTATTCTATTCTATTCTATTCTATTCTATTCTATTCTGTTCTGTTCTGTTCTGTTCTGTTCTGTTCTGTTCTGTTCTGTTCTGTTCTATTCTATTCTATTCTATTTTCTAGTCTAGTCTAGTCTAGTCTGGTCTATTGGACAAATATTTGACTGGGATGGATAAAGACTTGAGCCGGGGTTTGGACCAGCTGCCTTGCTTAGCAATGAAAATTTTGGATTCAGTGATTGTCGTACATCAAGAACTACCTGCAGTTCGTTCTGTTTACATACACAAGGTTCGATTCTTTACATTTAGAGGTGCGGTTTGGAGTACCGGCTCCTGAGTGATGCGCAGGGCAGAATGTTTTCTATTCCAATCTATATACCACATGCGGACTTGGAACACTCCCAGCTTCTGGATTTTAATGTGCAGGAAAGCACTGCTTTTAACGGGGAAATATTTCAATCAGCAAACTCTCTCTCTCTCTCAACTGCCTCCAGCTATACTGCCTTTGATTTACATGCATTGGGGAACCCGACAATTGTTGCCAGGTGTTGAGCTATTTCCGTACAAAGGGGAATTCAAAGGCATTAAGTCCAAGGGACAAAGGTCTTTGCAGTCTTGAACGCCAACAAGGAAGATTCCTGCAGCGCTCACTTTGAGAGCATGGATAACAGAGTTGGAAGGGGGATCTTAAAGGTCTTCTAGTCCAACCCCCTGCTCAAGCAGGAGACCCTATACCATTGGTTCCTGACAGAGCAGGGGGTTGGACTAGAAGACCTACAAGGTCTCTTCCAATTCTGTTATTTCAGACAAGTGAACGTCCAATCTCTTCTTAAAAATCTCCAGTGACGAAGCTCCCATAACTTCTAGCGGAAAGCCACTCTACTGATTAATTATTGTTACTGTCAGAAAATTTCTCCTTAATTCTAGGTTGGATCTCTCCTTGATAAGCTTCCATCCACTGCTTCTTGCCCTACCTTCAGGTGCTTTGGAGCAGTGGTCACCAACCAATGGGCCAGGGAACACTGGTGGTCAATGAGAAAATTTTGGTGGTCTGCAGAGAAATGTCACCCCCAAAGTAATTAATCCAGGCAGCGCGGGAACACAAAGCTGTGCCGCCCACATGGCCCGTGGGAACACAAGGCTTGCGTTACTTGCATTGCGAACAACATGAGGTAGTGAGGGGAGGAGGGAAAGGGCGGAGGGGGGGAACTTGCCCCACTCGCCCCATGCACCTGGCCTGGCCATTGGGCTGCTTCTTTCCGCTTCTTTCCACTTCTTTCTTCTTCTGCTTTTGGCTACATGCAAGGAAAGCAGCAAAAGTCTTTCTTTCTCTTCCCCAAATTCTGCCAGAAACGAGTCTTTGGGACCCTGCAAGGCATCCTGCTCCAAGGGGCTGCGATGGCACGACAAATCTCACAAAGACTCATTTCTGGCAGAGTTTGGGGGAGAGAAAGAAAGACTTCTGCTGCTTCTGCTGCTTTCCTTGCATGAAGCCAAAAGTCTCTCCCCCACCCCCACCCCGAGAACGGAGCTGGAGACGGTATCCCTGCGATCCCAAATAAAGAATGATTGATCGGTAGGAGAACGGCGTGGGGAATTTTCCTGCAGACTTTTGCGGGGATTTTCTCAGGGTCTCTGCTGCTTTCTGCAGAGATCCTGGGAAAACATCAGCAAGTCACCGTCAGTCAAAATTCACATTAGTGGACTGCGGGATTTAAAATTATGAGTTTGGTGGTCCCTGAGGTCCAAAAGGTTGGCATCCGCTGCTTTGGAGAATAGATTGACCCCCTCTTTTTTGTGGCAGCCCCTCAAATATTAGAAGACTGCTATCATGTCACCCCACGTCCTTCTTTTCATTAAACCAGAAATACCCAATTCCTGCAACCATTCTTCATATGTTTCAGCCTCCAGTCCCCTAATCCTCTTTGTTGCTCTTCTCTGCACTCCTTCTAGAGTCTCAACATCTTTTTTTACATCGTGGCGACCAAAACTGGATGCACTATTCCAAGTGTGGCTTTACCGAGGGTGGTATTAATGCTTCACGTGATCAGGGATGATAGCATCTTTAATGGAGCTTCTGAAACCCCAGTTGGTGAATCTGAAGCAAAACTATGTAGGTGAACAGAAAACTTTGGAAGCAACAATGGCTGGGAGAAATGCAATGGTGTGTGTGTGTGTGTGTGTATTTGTGTATATATGTGCCTACATGATAGTGTATTTGCATAAGGCAAATTCCTCAAAACCTGAGGCCCCACATCCTGAAAACAAATCAGGCAGATATATACAAGAACTTGAGGGGTCCTTGGTGCCTGAGTTGGGTTGTTTTCTTGCAGACATTTCATTATCCAACTAGGTAATATCATC